AAAAAGCAAAACTGGAAGTGGATTTTTGAGAAGGGCAAACAATTCTAAGAAAAGTCATCAGAGAGCTGACGTAGATTTTTGTTGTATTGCTCCCAGCTTGAATCCATGTCTAATTTGGGGATTCTCATTTTGAAACTGATACTTTTTATACATAACAATATATCATTTTGGGCATATGTGTCCAGATGAACCAAAAAAACCAAACCCACTGCCATCAAGTTGATTCCGACTCATAGTGACCCTATAGGACAGAGCAGACCTGCCCCGTAGGGTTTGCAAGGCTGTAAATCTTTACAGAAGCAGACTGCCACATCTTCTTACATGGATCAGCCGGTGGGTTTGAGCTACCGACCTTTTGGTTAGCAGCCAAGTACTTTAACCACGTTGCCACCAGGGCTCCTTGTGTCCGGATAGAGTCCTTTTATTTCTGTGGTCTTCAAAAGGATGTTTCAGGCAGTATTACTAAAAGCAGCGTGCATGGACCCAAGCCAGTCTGTGAGCTGCTTGCTTCCAGTCCCAGACAAAGTACAGAAGTTAGGAGTAAGCTTTCAGAAATTTATGACTGTCGGCCATAGCTGACATCCAAGTATGTGTGCTCATTTTAAAATAATTCCTTCTGATTGTATTTTACTTGCATATCAAACTGCAGTGGACTGACTGGAAGTTAAAACAAACAACTGATCCTTCATCATAGATAGTTTGCGAAACACGACTTTAAAGCACTCATCAGAAATTACCACGTGGGCTGGAATACTAAATGCAAACAGTTATTATCAGGAGGCCAAGGAATCTCTGAGAAACAGAAAGCTTATCAGAAAGATAAATATTTTCCTTTTTATACTGGCGTCTTTCCATTTCATCAGATGTGAATGACAGGCCAGGCGCGGGGATTGGTTCAGCCGTCAGGATGCTCTTTGGCGTTTGCCGTGCACATTTCATCGGGGCTCGAGTGAACACAGCACCGGACGTTCCCTGCATCCTGTTCTGAAGCACCGCTTCAGCCAGTCACAGGGCTCCCGGGTGAGGCCCTGACGTGCCCAGCTGCCTGATACCTACGTGCCGTCTGTCCCCTGCAGGAGCTGCGTCAGAACATGGAGGTGTTTTGCAATCTGAGCTTGAGAAAATGACTCCTCCCTTTCTTCCCTTCGGCCTTTGCACAAATCTCCACATTCTTCCTAGGCACCAGGCCACAGTGTGTTTCTAACAGGCAGTGGGCTAGCTGCACCCTCTCCCTCTGAGGTCATGTGAACATACTGCTCAGCTCCTTCTGTTCCCAGTGGCCTTGGTACAGCTACCTTGCAGCGGGTTTTCACCTGCCCAGCAGCAAAGGTAAAGAAGGGACAAGTGATGCAGAAATGGAGACTGTACTTCAGGGGCCACCTCATTTAATCTATAGGTTCTTTTTGGTGTTAAAAAAAATTAGAAATAATTTAAAATATATACTCTATTTGTATTTTTTTAAATTTATTTTTTGTTGTTGAGTATATACACAGCAGAACATACACCAATTCAGCAATTTCTGTGTGTACAGTTGAGTGACATTGATGACATTCTCTGAATTGTGCAACCATCCTCACCCTCCTTCTCCCAATTGTTCCTCCTCTGTTAACATAAACTCACTGCCCGGAAATTCCCTGTCTAACCATTCAAGTTGCTGTTGTCACTTTGATCCCATATAGATAGTCCTTGAAAGAGCACAGTGCTCAAGGGACATGTTCTTTACTATACCTTACCATTGTTTGGTTTTAAGATGATGTCTGGGGATATTTGTGGTTAAAGGTTTAAAGATTATCTCAGGGCAATAATTTCAGGAGTTTACCCACCCTTCATGGCTCCAGGAAGACTGGATTCCATGAGAATTTGAAATTCTCTCTGCATTTTTCCTCTTCCGATCAGGATTCTTCTGTAGGATCTTTGATCAAAATGTTCAGTGATGGTAGCCGGGCACCACCCAGTTCTTGGCTGTCACGGCAGAGGAGGCGGTTGTTCATGGAGGCAGTTGGCCCACACATTCCAGATCCTCCTCCTGTTCCTGACTTTCCTTCTTCCTTTGCTGCTGCAGGCACATAGAGACCAGTTGTTCCCGCGGTGTGGCTGGTTGGTGCAAACCACTGACCTTTGGTTAGCAGCTGGCCGCTTTAATCAGTGCGCCACCAGGGCTCCTTCCGCTCCTAGTGGGAGTGAAATGGTACCTCACTGTGGTTTTGATTTGCATCTCTCTGATGGATAATGACGTTGAGCATCTTTTCATGTGTTGGGTGGCCATTTGAATGTCCTCTTTGGTAAAATCTCTGTTCAGGTCCTTTGTCCATTTTTTGATTGGGTTATTTGCCTTTTTGTTGTTAATCTATTTATATTCTTAAAAACGCATACTGATGACCACCCTGACAAGGAACACAACAGAGAGTCTCTGATGGAGCAGGAGAAAGGTAGGGTGCAGAACTCAAATTCTAGTAAGACCAGACTTAATGGTCTGACAGAGACTGGAGGAACCCCAGAAAGCATGGCCTCTGGACTCTCTGTCAACCCTGAACTAAAACCATTCCCGAGACCAACTCTTCAGACAGAGATTGGACCAGACTGTGGGACATAAAATGATACTTGTGAGGAGTGTGTCTCTTAGCTCAAGTAGATACACGAGACTAAATGGGCAGCTCCCGTCCGCAGGTGAGATGAGAAGGCAGAGAGGGTTAGGAGCTGGTTAAATGGACACGGGGAATCAGAGGTAGAGAGGAGGACTGTGGAGTCACAGGATAGGGAGAGCAGTTAGGGTCACATAACAATCAATGTATATATAAATTTTTGTATAAGAGACTAACTTGAAATGTAAACTTTCACTTAAATGACAACAATAAACAAAAAAGAAAACCACGTACTGATGTTCTGCAAAGATTGGATACCACTTAAGAGATCTTTCCTTTTTTTTTAAGGATGGAAATGGATGATACAGGTTATCCTGTATCTTTATTCTTTTTTGTCTCCATATTTTCATATTTTAGGGGGAGAAGCACTACTTCAGAATCCTTGTAGGTTATTTGCGTTTGTACAGTATTTCTGCGATAATCTCCATTGCATGAAGCCTGGATTTAGCTCTTTAACTCTAATTCTCGGTTTTGTTAGGGCTCATCTGGACCTGGAACTTTACTTTGCGATTGCACATTAGTTTCTTGAAGATGATAGGAAATCCGCTTTGCCCACGCTCTGAAAATGACCATTTAATTTTGATTTTTACCCTTCGTGTCCTCCTGATGTGGGAGTGAGTGTCCCTAGTCATCTTTGAACAGTTGATAGCAATGCCACCTTCTGGTAGAGCACAGTCTTTGGCATGTCTTGCCCTAAAATGCTGGGGAAATGTCGGCATTAATTGAATGTTTATATGAATAAGAGGGATACTACATACCGTGCTCATGAGGAACCTGTACGTAGACCAGGAGGCAGTCATCCAAACAGAACAAGGGAATACTGCATGGTTTAAAGTCAGGAAAGGTGTGCGTCAGGGTTGTATCCTTTCACTGTACTTACTTAGTCTGTGTGCTGAGCAAATAATCCTTCCCACGTACGGTCAACTAAACGGCTCTTTTGTCTTACTGAAATTCAAGACGTTTGCTCTGCTCCCTGTACCCACCCTCCCCGTATTCTCTTTAGAATTCCAGAGCCTGCTGGTTTCATCAGTGTTTCTCACACTCCAGTACTTTCTCTTATTCCTCTAATGAGGCAGATGACCCATAAAGAGCAATTCTTCTTACTCGAGCGATTGAAGCAGAGATTTCGTTGCTTTAGAAGACGACATGGATGGTTTTGCAAGGTGCCCTAGGAGAGAAGCAGTTTCAGCTCTGATATCTGGGAGTCACCCTGGCTGGCTCATCCCACCGCAAGGAGAGAGGGCCTCAGCTTCTCTCCCCATTGTCTTCTCAACAGGCTGCTGGAGCTCTGTGGTTCGGTCAGAGAGCAGCATTGACCCGTTTCCTCACCTACTCGCTAGGGGTCCCCCATCCGTCTTCACCACACTCACCACCGGAGGTGTGCCCTACCTCTTCTTCCAGTCATCTGCCTGGCCCTCTCCCTCCCAGGAGGCACTGCTGGGTCAGTGGTAGAACTCTCACCTTCCATGTGGGAGACCTGGGTTTGATTCCCGGCCAGTGCACCTCATGCAGCTACCACCCGTCTGTCTCTGGAGGCTTGTGTGTTGCTGTGATGCTGAATAGGTTTCAGCAGAGCTTCCAGACTAAGGCAGACTAGGAGGAAAGGCCTGGTGATCTAATTCTGAAAATCAGCCAGTGAAAACCCCATGGGCCCCAGCGGTCCCGTCTGCAGCTCATCATGGGGATGGGGCAGGACTGGGGAGCATTTCAGTCCATTGGGCATGGGGTCCCATGAGTCAGGGGCTGAATGACAGCCGCTAAGCATAGTCTCTCAGCCCCTCCGTCCAGCTGCCCACTCCCTTTCTGTGGCAGGGAGGGGCTAGGCTCAGAGTGGAGTTCTGGTGATCCAGGAGGCCAGTTTTGCTCTGTAGAAATAAGTATTCTTAAACCTGTTTTTTACGTGCTGTAGACCTCTGAGGACCGTTTCTCTCATCCCTTCCTGAAATATCAAGCTACAGTCCTCACTGCAGCCACTTAGCACATTTCCTTACGGGAGCGCCTGACCTGGCAGCAGGCCTCCCGGGTGAAGTCCCTCCCACTCTTCCTTGTTGCCATTGTCGTGTCTGTTAGCGAGAATAAGCCCCCTCGGCCAGCAGGTAATCTAAAGGTTTTTCCATGGACCACCTCATTTCTCCTGAGGTGGCCTGGCATGTGGGTCAGGACACGCTTGTCGGTGTCAGATGTGACTCGGGGTATGCAGTGACAGGAGCAGTGACTTCTTGTTTCTGTTCTTCTGGAGCAGGGTGGGGGCAGGCCACTCTGGAGAAGCGCGGGAACGCTCTAGTGTAGTCGAGTCCACTCGCTGTAGGGCGTGTTGAATGTGGGCCTCACCTCCAGGTACCGTCTCTTCTTTCTCAGCCATCGACTACAGCGACAGCAGCATGCAGGACACCCAGCGTCTCCTCCTTGGCGTGACCTCCTTCGTTGAGGACGCACGTGCCTACATGCGAGGACAGCTGGCCTGTGCCTCCGTCAGGGAAGACCAGCTGTGGGAACGGTGAGCTGCACAGCCCACGTCCGCTCCTCGTGCCCAGACGCGGGCCTTCCTCTGACGCCAGGTGTGGCGGCTACGTCAGACGAGGGGAGACAGGCTTCCTAGAAACTGAGGGCCTTTTACTGGAAAGTGGGGTGACGTGGAGGGAACCTGGGCCTCGGAGCCAGACAGACCTGGATTTAAATCCTGGCTCCTTGCTTCCTGGCTTTGGGGCTTTGGGGGGTGAGAGGTGAGGAGATCCTGCCTTCGCGGGGTGGGTGTGAAGGTGACGATTAGTGTATGTACCTGACCTTGCTTTCCCCATGCTGGGCTGGATGGCTGGCTGTTGCCCTGTGTTAAATCAGTGGTGGTTGTTATCACTACTCCTTCAAAATAAAGGGAGATTTACAGGTAACTGGCGTTGCCCTCTGTCGTACACGCTGTCGCTTTGAGTCGGAACCGACTCGACGACACCTGACAACAACGCAGAGGTGGGCTAGACCTTTGAAGAAAGGGTGGAATGTCACAAATGGGAAGAGGGCAGAGGTCGCGGCGATTCGAGTGAACTCGCATCGGATCAGCAGACAGGTCTGCTGAGCGAAAGCACACGTCACATTGTCCACCCGCTCAGTTCACAGTCAGCCTGCTGTCGTCAGGAACAGACACACGAGTTATACTGTGTAGAGTCAGAACTGAGAAGACAGGTGTTGTGAAGGAAGAGAGAGGAGACATCCGACTTACAGGATCCCTCTAAGTGAAGTAAAAGTCGAATGGCAAGTAGGAAGAAAAAGTGGACTCCTGGCGTTGAGTATGGAAATACTAAAGTTCACTTCTGCTGCTTTGTCACCTCGTTAAATGTTAGACATTGATTTCGTATGTTTCAAAAAAAAGTTTGAAAGATTCGAGATTGACATCAAACAGCTTTCTGATAGATGATGAGAAACTAGAATGGCTTATAGAAGCTAGAGAAATTTCTCTCTGGAAATTAGGAAGGAAAAGAAGTGTGATGAGTATGTCAGACGTTCGTTGGATGCTCACTGTATGCTGGGAACTCCGCTTGGAGTGGGAAACCCTGAGATTGATACAGCACGTCCCCCTCCCTTGAGAAATTCCTCGGAGGAATAAAGCACCCTGGACTCACCGGGGGGTCAGTTGGGGAAGGCAGGGTCTCCAGAGGAGATGAGTGTGAGCCGAATCTTGTAGGGTGAAGAGACGTTAATTACAGCAGTTGGAACCTTGGGGACAGAGCTCAGAGTGCTGGCTGAGCTGCACCGAGGTCCCAGAACTTCAGTGGTGTGTGGCTGGGGAGCGTGTCAGCATGACTGGGTGGTGTCTGCATGGCAGGGGGGAGGAGAGGAGGGAGCAGTGTCTGCGGGGGAGAGGAAGGGAGGGGG